TAAACAAATATTTGTTAAGGTGTTAATTTTTAATTTATTGATTTGTTTGTAAGAATTTTGTAGGCCATTTAATTTTCTACAAAATTCTTTTAGTGTAAAAATTCTTCAAACGAAAATAAAATAATAAATTCAAAGTCTTCGTTTTAAAAAATTATTTTTTTCAGCGGTAATAATACTAAGAATAAAACGATATTATTTCCGATGAAAACGTATTCAATAAAAATTTGTGGCAGTGGTATAACTTTAGTATCTTCTACGCATGCGCAAACAAGTCGAATTGTAACAATAAAATTTATTTCTTCTTTCCAAATAAATTAAAAGTGAATATCAATTTTCAAAAATTTCATTACTCTTTTTTTTTTGTTTTATACAGAGATCAAAATAATATTTTATGACAATAAAATTGTATATTTCTGTCGCACTGAGCTGTATATAGTAAATAATGATATGTAGTATATTAAATAACGTATAAAGTTCATTTGATACACAATTTGCATCGGTAAGTAGTATTAACAGTATCAATTTATTTTGAACACGCACTGATACTGAATACGCGTTTATTATAGAAATTTATCCGGGATTTTTTTCAAATTTTTTACGATAATTTTACATAAAAATTTACACAGTAAAAAATTTTACGTTATTGCGTAAAAAATTTTTGTGTTAAATATTTAACACTTTTATGAATAAATTTAACATTTATTCTGTTTTTAAATATTTAACATAAAAATTATTAACACAAAATTTTTTGACGCAATGACGAAAAATTTTCTACACGGAGACAAAAGAATAGTAATAGAAATTTTTCTGAGAATTCTGTGTAAATTTGCTGATGAAAATCTTAGAAATTGTAATAAAATATGAACAACTCCCCATTCATTGCGGAATTAAATTCTGAACACAATGATGTTATTTTTTTATTTTTTTGATAAAAATTTTAATTTTTTATTAACAAAAAACATAATAAAAATAAAAAATCTCACACTGATAGAAGGATTTATTTGTATTAAAAAATATTTGTTAATAGTTAACTAATCATTTATTAGAGACCACTTTTTAGTATTAAACAAATATTTCTTAGTATTTAAAAGGATTTATTAATATTTAATAAATGAATGTCAGATTTATTAAATACGAACAAATCATTTTAATAAAATATTAAAAAATATTTTTAGCTATAAACAAATCCTTCTATCAGTGCAGTTTTTTGTAAATAACTCAATAACTATAGGTGATATCAAAAATCGGAAAAAAGATCCTTAAAGAGAAGGAAATTTTTATTTAATGTTGAAAATAGGGTTTCGTGTACTGTGTATATCAAAAAATTTTTCTCACATGACTAAAATTTTTCCGAAGTTAAATAAAAATTTACAATATTAATTATTGTATCAATAAAATTTTTAAAAGTTTGATTTTTTTTTACCTAAAAATAAATGACCAAAAAAAATTTTTTTTGATTTTTGAGGCTTTCCTAATCTCCATATAGTCTCACACGCTCACTCAGATGTATTTATATATATATATACATATATATTTACATATAAGTGGTTATCGTGACAGGGCGACGTAACTTATTCCACGTTGGCCTATTCTCACCACCCTGAGACGGTAAAATATCTCAAGTTAGTGAGACATAAAATATATGTGATAAGTGAGAAATTTAAGTTCCAAGGGTTACATCTCTGTCTCTTACTCGAGCTATTTTTCGGTCTTGCCATTCTATCCCAGACGATAAAATAAAAAATCTCGAGCGTTCTATCTTGTTCCAGCGGTACTGAGCAAAATTAATATATATTTCTCCCGAAGCTTTTCCGCTGCACCCCTCGGCTCCTCCGGCGACCCTTGCGATTCTACCGGCATGATAGACAGATTGACAAAACCGTAACCGTTATACCTTATACGTAGACCCGAACGTCACTAAGCACCGAATCGATCAACCCGCGCTTCAACCATATTCCAAACTGACACTTTTTATTCCTCTTTTCACCTTCTTAATGTCTTAATTTTTCATTCTTACCACTATTACACCTTTTTCTCGGCTCGCTCTCTTAAACTTGTTACTTATTTCTTTCAAACAAGATATGTTATAAGGTGATAAATTTTTCCATCGTAATAACAAATGTCTCACATTAACCCTTTATGTCATGTTGCTGTATTTGTGACTGACTATTTATCATTTAAAGCTTGTTACATAAAACTTTTTCGCATTATTTATTCATTGACTATTCATAAGTTCAATTAAATTCACTCAACATTTTTTTATCTTTTAATTTATTATATAAATAGTCAGTGAGTTGAAACTTTATTCAATACTATTGTCAATTAAAATTGTACTTGGTATTATTTATTAAAAATATCCATATTAAATATATATCCTTAAGCAAAAAATTTATTGAACAATTATTTCAAGTGATTTTAATTACTCTAAGTTTTTTTTTTTTTTTTTAGTTATTTTATAAAATATTTTATATTTATAATATTTTTAAATTAATTGGATGAGCGGTTTTAATTCTGATAAATTATTTTTCTCTACACTTTTATATAAGTATTAATTTCGAAATTTTATTAAATAACTCTGAATTAATCTTATATTATTAATAAACAATTAGACTTTCTTTTTAAAATTCTTTACAGTCATTAATTTTTATTACATTATTCCGTTTAACATCGATACGCTTCCACGTAGTCTAGAAATACAGCAAACATGTTCTACTGACATTAAATTTTTCATTTCCAACATTAATAATATACTGGGTATAAAATGGGTCACTTGATATTTAAAATTCAAGCTGGTTAAATTTCATTTTTTGATTTTTTTCAACACTCAAAAATTTGACAAAAAAAATTAAAAAATTCATGTGCTGTATACAAATTTTTTTTATTTTAATTAATACAATTACAATTTTTTATCCTCCAATTAATATTTAATCACAGAAAATTAGAAAAAATATTTTTTTTAATTTTTAAAAATTCTAAAATAGAAAAAATTTCTTTATAAATATTCAATTATTTTTTTGGAAATTAAAAAAATAATTTAATTTTTTTTTTTACGATTATTCCTTAAAAATTAATCGTTTAAATTTAAACCTAAAATACAAGTAAAAAAATATAATTTCCGTGTCCCATTTTACCCTCCTAACAATCAAAAATTTTTGACCTAATCCGATACTAAAAATAACAGACAGACAATTAGAGGATTTACCTAACAATAGAGACATGCACATAAAATTATTGAAAAATTCTAAACATTTAACTTGTCAACTTTATCTTTTATGATATAAATGTAATTTCCAATATTGAATATAAAATTTAAACCAAAAATCGTCGAACGTCTGCTATTTTTAGAATCATGACATAAAGGATTGTGACACCTCCCCTCACAAGACTCAGCAGCCCAAAGATCTCTCAAAAAATATCCGAACCTTTAAATGAATCTAAAATTAGGTCACGTCACTTAATTTACCGAAAGTCCTTGATAAGTAACCTAATTTAAATACTTATGAACTGGAAACTCGTTAATTTACAATGAACGTCCCTACTAAATTTTAAAAATACCATTATACAAGACAATATAAATTCGTAAATTTTAATACGTCTGTTATTAATTATTGCAATATAAATTATACGTTTCTCCAATGATACGTTTAACAAATTACAGACAATTATTCGGCAGTTTAATCAGCATACCTGATAAACATCAGTGTTCAATGTGCACTTTGTCCATTAAGTACGATATGTTTGATTATAAAATTTATTGATACGATAGTTTGATATTTTTGTTAAACTCAATTCTAAATTAACATTAAATGATATACAATGTAAAAAACCACTATAGATTTTATCTGAGCATTACAATAAACTAATAATTAATTAAAAAAAAACCACTCACTCAATTATCATTGCTATTTATAATATAATCTTTGTAATTACGCGATCAAATTTACCATTCATTCCCGCTATCCTAATTATTGAATTGACTAAAAAAATTCACGTATATATATAACCTTCTTTTAAATATTTATATTCATATATATATCTTCTTTATATTTATATTTATATTTATATATATTTATACTCAACCATTTAATTATTATTTCGATTTTCCATCGAATAATTCCATCATTGCTATCTATACATTTTTTTCAAATAGATGTACAGTCTTTGACAGATAATTTATGATTTTTTTCTTGTACTCACAAATGAAAAAAAAATTTTTACTTATTTTTTTTACCTTTAATTAATCTTTTTTTATAAGTTCACATTTAGTTTTTCCAACAAATTTTTTTTTTATCTTAATCTATTGGACACTTAAAAATTTATTATTATTATTATTTTTTATAATAATTATTCCTACTATTATTATTATTATTATTATTATTATTATTATTATTTAAATTACTGTAATTATAAATAACAATAAATTTCTAAATATTCACTACCACGACCAAAATCACGAGCACAATAAAAAAAAAATTTAGTCATTGAGACAACTAGCCCCACAATCATCCTGATGCCTCCTCATGAGCTCAAGATACCTGTGCCGTGGATCGCAGTAATGAAGTAGCGGTACCTAGACATCAGTGCCAGTGCCCTCCTGGTACCCCTCGTCCGGAGAGCTCCTGGTGGATCCTAGCACCCGTTTTAGTGCGGAAACAGGTGGCAGAACAGGAACGCCTTTCTGCCATACCCTCAATTGCTTAGCGCCAGGTGGAAATTGTTGATGGTGTAACTGCTGTTGATGCTCGACAGACATGATGGACACGCTCGACTGTACTTCCTTGGCATATGTCGAGTTTCCGGCGACCCCAGGCACAGTGTCCTCCCCAGTATCCCACAAACTCGAGTACAAAAGTCTCGTATTGTCCATCAGCCCAGTGGAATAATTCCCGAGCTCTTCAATAGACGTTCTGGTGTCCCTAATCAGATCAGGGTTCTCAACAGGAACCAGGGAGGCCGTCGAGGAGAAGCAGGCGCCGTGGATCACCGGGTGCTCGTCGACAATGTACTCCCTGGAGGAGTCTAATGGTACTCTCTGAACATAGCTCAAGCTCAAAGAGCCGGGCTTCGTCGAGTCGTTGAAAGTGGTCTCATTTTCCTGCTCAACTTTCCTGCTGAGCGTCCCGCTGACCGCATTGTCATTGCTGCCCTCCGAGGGCAGAACCTCCATAGGCGCGGCGTTGCTCTTCACCTCCTTGACGGGCATCCGCCTGAGCCTGATGAACAGCACCATGATGATCAGAAGTATCAGCAAAATAAGGACAACCAGAGCCGCGGAAATCCCCGCGATCTGCCCGCTGCCCAGCGTCGACATTCCGGCGGTCCTCGAGGAAACGTGGAGCGTGAAATTAGCCTCAACGCTTCCGGCTCTGTTTTCCGCGACACAATAAAAGTCACTGGAGTCTGTCTCCTGGGCGTTGGTCAGAATCAAAGTGCTGCGCTTGCTGTACTGGCCCTCCTCGTAAATATAAACCTTCTGGTAGCTGCTGAACGAGCTGTGGTTACTCAGAAGCTTTCCGCTCCAGTACCACTTTATTTTAGCCGGCGGAACCGCGGATACGCGGCAGACAATGCTCGCGTTCTCCCCAATTGTGGCCTCGGCGTACCTCGCGGTGAACATCATCACCGGGCGGCAGGCAAAGTCGTCGAGGGTCAGCTCGACAAAGGGCCTGTTCACAAGCTGCTCCGGGCCGTGGCAGACCGGAGAGATCAGAGTCGGAAGATTGTGCTTGACCAGCCACTGCTTCATTTCTCTGAGGTGGCAATTGCAGACCCAGGGGTTGTCGTGGAGCTCGATGCTCGTGAGCTTGTTCAAGGGGTCGAAGGTCCCCGGGTTGAGGGTGGCCAGCCGGTTCCCGTTGAGCTTCAGCGACTCCAGGGACTCGAGGCCCCGCAGCCCGTTCGACTCGATCTCGGAGATTTGAGCGTTAGAGAGGTCGAGTTTTATCAGGCTGGAGGTCGTCCCGAACACGTTAGACTGGATCCGGACCAGGGGGTTCCCTGCCAAGGACAGGTCTCTGAGGAAGGGCGCCTTGGTCAAGCTCTCGCTGGGGATCGAGGTCAGTCTGTTGTTGCTCAGGTCGAGCTCTATCAAATTCGTCAGTCCGTTCAGCGCCTCCTTGTCTATCCGCTCCATTCTGCAATTTCGAAGGTAAACCCTTTGCAGGTTGGTCAGTTGGACCCGGACGAAGATGTTGCTGGCCAGCAGCCTTATGTCGTTGTCGCTCGCGTCCAGCACCTGGGTCTCCGGGTCTATCTCCTCCGGGATGCTCGTAAGCATCCGCTTCACACACTCGACGGTCCTTTTGCCACCCTTCCACTTGCACGTACACTCGTCCGCACACTTGTCACCGATTACACAGCAAACTCGCCCCAAGATTATAAGGAGCAGCAAAAATACTCCGACCGATGGCAGCGGACCGTACTCCCGTCTCGGATTTCCACATCCCCAAAATCTGACTTCCATTTTTTAAGTTTTGCCTCTATCACCGTCCTTTTACGGGGAAACTCATTTGATCAACTGCTGATTTTAATTTTAATCCTCAAGGACATTTTTTTTCACTATTTAAGCGTCACTTTTTTTGGGGATAGTTCTCAGTGTCATTTCACATTAAAATAAATAAAAATACACTGTAAAATTGATATGATATTTTAGGGAAATTATTTACAGGAGTTTTCACTGCTTAGCGAATAGGGTGGAGATAATCCTGCCCTTGTTTCATTTATCACTTACTTTTTCCGCACAAACTCGGACCGATTGCGAAAAATACCGCGTTCATATTAGCGAATAAACTCGCGGAGATTTTTTTGATTAATAAAAATAAATTTTTATATTTAAATAAACACAAATTTTAATATTATAAAATAAAAATAAGAGACGGCAGGATTAAACGTTAACGCCTCGGTGGTACGTGAAAACTGCGGGAGACCGTGTAAAGCGCCACTGGTTTCCACCGCCACCGTCGCCGCGCACAACTACCCCCGCCCCAATATTTTTTATCTTATTTTTTTTGTATTTTTCGCGCGCGCGCAAAAAATTGCCGGTTGTTTAAATTTAAGAATAAGAACAATGAGAATTTTTATTATTACGGGGTAATTTGGGTCCCGAGTTTGGAGAAAAAATTTTATTTAAAAACTCGATACGCTAAATGGCAGAAACTACCACGTATACGTTTATATTTGTAACTATAAATATATGTATAGAATTTTTCCCCCACTGGGGTTATGAGATACGATGAGCGTCGTCCCCTAAACTCTGGCAACCCTCGAGTCGAGAAACTACTAACACTATTATATAGTGCGCTCACTCTTACACATTTTGTGTAATAGGAAAACCAACTGGCTGCCGGTCGTGGGTCGTTCGCCGATGGCACAGCTGCGCGGGTTATGCGCGCGCAATTCATCCCCTTCTTGAATTACCCCTGAAGATACTACATGTGTAGTGAGGGGCGAATGTGTGGGGTGTGTAGGTGTAGAGGGTGAATGCAAGTAATGCTGGATGTGAATTTAGATAGATGTAGGTACACGGAATGGTGTGTTTCTTAAAAATCTACAAATGGTTACCGTGGATCGCTAGAATGCCAAATTTAAATGCGCTCTTTGTTTTTCTTTTTAGGGGCGGAGGGAGAAAAGGCTGGAAAGAAGTAGATGTCGATGCGACGGTGTGTGCCACGGTAAAAACGGGTTGTTGACCTCATGTAAATCGCTCAGACAAATGGATGGAGATAATTTAGTGTGTCCCCCAGGAAATAGTGTCTTCCGGTAACGAGCTATTGTCAATTGGGAATTAAATCGCGGTTTGATTCATCGAGCGCCATTTTGTATTGTTTTAAGGAGGTGTTGTAGCTGGATTATTATAATTTTGCATATTTTTAGGTTCAATTTACAGAAAAAAAATTTATTTTATCGAAAGAATAATTATTTTTAAAAGTATACTAATCTTTAATTGAGTTTAAAAAATTAGTGAAGAAAAATTTTTTACTTAATTTTTTAAATTTAAGAATTTTTCTTTTTTTAGTCCGAATAAAATTTTACAATGAATTTTTTTCCAGATAGAAAGTGTGAAAATTATTACAAAAACACGTGGAAGAATTTTTCAAACAGGCAATACAATTTCGAAGTTTTCTTGTGTTTCGTTTAATTAAAAAAAAAAAAAAAATTATATTATAATTCGAGTAAAAATACTATATGTATGTTAATTTAAAAAAAAAACTTCTTTTAACCTTAAAAACGCCAATTTCACGTACAGTTTCAGCAACTGCCGCCATCTCTCGTAACTTTTTACAAATAAAATCAGTCTAAGACTGATAATGTAATCCTACTTTACTGGTATATAGATAATTTAAAATATTATACGAAATTTTCAAATTAAAAATTAATTCTAATAATAATAATAATAACTAGCAACCTTGCAGTCACTATGTGACTGCCGTGACTTTTGAACTATAAATAAATAAATAAATAAATAAAATTTTGATTTATTGAACAATGACTTTTGTTAAATTGTACTGTACTTTCTTAAATATTGACGTTTTTAAATATATAAGCTCATATTGATATTATACTTATCAAGAGCTTTCATTTGAGTACCCACATGCATTTTTGAGATATTTTTCATATATATATATATATATAAATATAAAAATATGAAATATATGAAAAAATGATGTGGGTACTCAAATGAAAGGTCTCCATGAGTGTAACATCGGGATGAGCTTATATCTTTACAAATGTCAATAGTTCACAAGATATTTGTTAAAATGCCCTGTACTTTCTTAACTAATGGCGTTTTTAAAGATATAAGCTCATCCCGATGTTACACACATCAAGAGCTTTCATTTGAGTACCCACTTGCATTTTTGATATATTTATTATATATACATATATATAATATATATAAATATATGAAAAATTGATGTGGGTACTCAAATGAAAGGTCTCGACGAGTGTAACATCGGGATGAGCTTATATCTTTAAAAATATCAATAGTTCACAAGATACAAGGTCGTTTCTTAATTATATTAAATTACACTGTACTTTCTTAACTATTGTCATTTTTAAAGATATAAGCTCATTCCGATGTTACACTCATCACGAGCTTTCATTTGAGTACATACATGCATTTTTTCATATATTTCATATATACATAGATATAAATATATGAAAAATTGATGTGGGTACTCAAATGAAAGGTATCGGTGAGTGTAACATCGGGATAAGCTTATATCTTTAAAAATGTCAAATGTTCTCAAGATACAAGGTCATTTCTTAATTATGTATCTAAGAGATAGAGAATTTTCGAATGCAGCCTAAGTACTTATCATCATAAATTGACCATCGGTGAGAATGATATGAAACCTTGAATAGGCACAAATTCACATCAAGACCTTTGCAATGACACTAAATTTCATTGAAAAAACCGATTTTATCATATGACTATCCTGGACACAAAATTTTTCTTATTCTCTCAATAATATCGATAATAATAATAATATTCATTACCAGAAAATTACAGACATTTGAAATACATACAGTCAAAAATGTACAACAAAAATATCTGTCCTTTAGGGATGAATTCCATCTGTACTATTATTATTATTATTATTCTGTTTGTTTAATAATGGTTTTTGAACACTTTTTGACTTTTACTTTGATATTATACTGATTTGTACTTAATTTTAAGATATCATGTATGCTTTTGGCCGTTAGAGGACTATGTCCTACGGCCTTTTTCAATAAATTACAATTACAATTACAATTACAATTATTATTATTAAAATTAAAATTAATTCTAGTAACAAAATAATTAAAAAAATTCTTTATCCGTCAGATGTTCGGTACTTGCATTAGCACTTAATAAAAGCACCATCCAGACATATATGGAGCTCATATCAATAAAACCTCGGGATAGTGGGAGGTGTAACAGCAGAAGCCTCGGCTAGATGAGTGCATCTATGAGGAAGGGGCGGAATGAGTGAGAAATAAATAGAGGTAGGGTAATATAAGAAAAAATGTTGAGAGCAGAAGCAAGCAAAAGTAGCAGAAGCAGACTGACGGGTGAACGGTTCTGTCTCTGCACAAATTCACATTGAAGGGCCTTTTAGACCTAATTGGCTGTCTGAATCGATATCACTCTCGTCGGGGACTGCCGAGCGAGAGGAATATTGATGTCGGTATGCTCGGGAAAGGTGCTGGGGTGAGATAGAGAGTCGTGAGAGCAGACGGATGCCCGCCGCCGAGTCGGGACAAAAGGGAGAGACATAGATATAGAGAATAGATGTATGATAGATATATATCTGTAATGTGGGGGTGTATGGATTGAAACCGGTGGATAGTGTAGGTTAGTAGAGATTTGAAAAGAATAAAATGAACTGACGTGAATGGGTGGTGGATGATGCTGATGCGAGGATCGAGTATACTATACCCTTTACCCACTGCACTAGCTTCTCTCTTTACTTCTCTCTATCCTCTATCGTATTCCGTTTGTACGTCATACTCATAACAGGATGAGCACTCGGGATGAAATTGTAAACGCATCTTGCGGCGGTACTCTATTGTATTGAATGACATCAATCGATTACAATACATTTGCGGAAATTAAAATCCCACTGGTATTTCATTTCGTCACTACACCCATTATTTTATAATCTCTTTCTGTCTATATGCCGGGTGTAAGTGAAGAAAAATAAAAAGAAAAATAAGAAAACCAGACAGAAGAGTTTTATTTTAAGTGTTATATAATATTATGATATGATATTTTATTCTTTGGTAAGTGAGACACTGGGGTGAGATATGAATGAGAGCCCATTGGTTTTTGATACCGCAAACACTTTGTTCTTCCCCTGTTATTTTAGTGGCCCTTACTCTCATTCTTACTTGTATAATGTACTTGGGCGGGGAACAAAAAATTTTAGGAAAAATTACTATTGGTCACACTGAAAAAAAAATTAACTTGAATTGAGAAAATAATTTTGGAGATTTATTGTATTGAATAAAGATGGAAAATTATTGAATCAAGTAAAATTTATTTGTTTAAGAATTTTTATACTTAAATAAAATGTTTTTTAGGTATAGAACCAGACTTTGAGGTATTACTTGTGGTCAGTGTACTTTTTTTTGCTACTTAATGTTTTCATTAAAAATTTTCAATGCAAAATTCAATAATTAATTACTAGCAACCTTGCAACCACTATGTGACTGCCGTAAATTGTGAACTATAAATAAATAAAATTTTGCTTTATTAAATAATGACTTTTGTTAAATTACACTGTGCTTTCTTAACTATTGACGTTATTAAAGATATAAGCTCATTCTGATGTTACACTCATCAAGACCTTTCATTTGAGTACCCACATCAATTTTATCATATATTTATATATATTACATATATCTATATATATATGAAAAATTTATCAAAATGCA